AAATTTTTGTCTTGAAATATGGACAGTTTCAACACTTTTGCAGCATTTGGGATCAAAATAAAGCCTCTCTAAGGTAAGAAAGTACCTCAAATTTGACTTGAATTTCTTTGAAATTTCTCCTTTCACTTATAGGTTCTACTTCTCATCTAGAATGCTTGAATTTACCTTTCCCATGACAATTTAGAGTTTGAAGAGGCCTCAGAAACCATCCAGTTGAATTCTCTCTTTTTCCAGATTGGGGAAACAGGTCCAAGACAAGTAAGTGGAGAGCTACGGGCAACACCCACCAACGCAGGGCATTTTTTTTCTGCTATCTTACAAGATCCAACCTCGAGTCCGAACCGGTTGTTAGGTAGAAACGACAGTAATACATTACAATCAAAGCAGGCCTATCTCTGCAGTATTCAAAGCCTTTTGACTCGCATTTTGTCACAAAAAAGAGCTGGGTATTTTTTAGTAAGTAGACAGACCCAGGTGAGGGGTGGAGCAGGGCCTCTCTGAGCTCTTCTACTGGCTATATTAACAAGAAAAAAAATGCCCAGCTCGAATTGAACCACTCTTTCGGAAGAAAGACTTTTTTAAAAAGACAGCTGAGGGGTACCAGGTCAGCATCCAGCGGGGGCCAGGCGGGGCCGGGCCAGGCCCACTCGGCGGCGGGAGTGCTGCAGCGCAGGGCACTGCGCAGGCGCAGGCGTGCACCTGTACTGGTGCAGGGGCCGCGCGCCCGCGCTTGGCGGCGGCCTCGCGCGGCTTCCCCTCCCACCTCCCTCAGCTCTCCACCCTCCAGGCCCCGCCTCGCCGGCTCGGCGCGCCGGGTCTTCTCCTGCAGTCGCCCTGTGGCTCTGCAGGCGGGCAAACTGCGTGTTGCTGCGTCATCGCCAGTGGCCGGTTTGAATGAGACTCTCGTCGCACCCGTGCTGCCGCCACTACCGCGCCTCTTCCTTGGCTGCCGCGGCTGCTTCATCGCGTCCCTTTCCCTTCGACGCCCTTGCCAGGCCCAGCCTTCCTGCACCGCCGCCGTCTCTTGTGCCGCCATGCCGCTTTATTCCGGTGAGCTCCTTCCTCGCCCTGCAGTTCTGTCCTGCGCTAGGCCTCTGAGTAGGCCGGGCCTGCAGGGCAGACACCCGGCTGAGCACGGGGCGGGGGAGGGGACCGGGCAGGCGTGGGTGGGGGGGACTGCGGCGTGGCGATGACCTGGCCCCTTTCTCTCTGCCTGCTACTTCCGAGCTCTACAACCGGAGGGATCGCTGCCCCTTTTGGCCCGGGTGGGTGGGGAGTGGGGATGGGGAGCACGAGTCAGCTCCTCGGAGTGGTGACTCTGCAGAATAGTTTCTGTCGCTGTCCTAGTGAGCCAGGAGAGGTGAGGGTGTGTCCTCAGGCACCCGGGACCAGGCTAGAGGTGTAGTGGGATTTTCTTGGACTCGTTAGTGGTAGCTGTGGAAGGGGAGGGTCAAGGAGGGGGAAGCCTGAGGTAAGGGAGGGATGGAAGGACCTGGGATGGAAGGTTAGCTTTCGTGGTGTTTGGGGTTTCCCTTAACAGCTCCCCATAGCTTACCCCTTGCTGCCTTTGGCTCAAACACCCATTTTGTACCAATTTCAGTTTTATCCCGAGGTAGATTGTGAACTTTACGCTTTGTTTTCATTTCATCAGGCGTTATATTGGGTTTCTACGTCTGAAACATAGTGTTAGCTTTGAGACTTAGGTGAATGCAAATGCCCGCAGGCGTCATTTCCTTTTAAGAGCGTTTGACAGTTTTTATTTTATTTTGCTTGAGGCAGTCCAAGGTATTAGCCAGGGATCACATTTTCACTTAGTTAATGGACCTTGCTGTTCTTAGTCTTACTCAAAATGGCACCTAAAACGTATGTGGTGACTTTGGTTCACTACGGATGTATGATTCATTGGCCATTCCTAACTCTATCATAATTCTTTTATTGAAGATTCAGCATTTTCATAGAATGATATGAAACAAAGGAGTAATGTTTAATTTCGAGGTGGATTCTTGGTGTTCTAGAATCTTGAATTGAGTGCTTTAATGATATAAAGCCAAGATTAACAGTAGAATGGTACTTGAAATTTTCTATTTATGCAGTGTAGAATTGAGGGGTTATTAATGAGTGATGGCGATAAATACCAGTGTATGCTAATACTTAAACACACTGGTAGACTCAACATACACCACCACAAACCCACTTCTTTATTCCCCTCAAAAAATACTTATATTCACCAAACTGTCTATGTTAACATTAAGTTTTATCTTCAATATTTAACCGTATCTTTTCCTTATTTCCAAAATGAGAGAATTGGAGTAGATGTCTCAGGTTTCTTCTTTGACCTTTCCATATTCAGAATTTATATTTTCAGGTTCTGCAAAAACCCCTATATTAAAATGAGAATATTTTAAGTACCATTTCATAAGTTTTAGTAGAAAATTAGTCAGATTCGTATATGGTTAAGGATAAGTGCTGTAAAAATTAATGAACACCTGTATATCTGGCACAAAGCTAGTGTTTTTATACATGTTGCTTTGTTTTAATCTTCAACATAATCCTGTGATACTGGTATAATTCTCTTTGATGGGTAAGCAAAAAGTTTAAGTAACTTGCTCATGGTGACACAGCTAAATCAATTTCAGATAGGTTCCTCTTCATTATTTCTAATACTGTTTTGGTTTAGTCGTATCTTTTACTTGTACATTGTTCTCTATTCCTAGTTTATTTCAAGATTACAGTTGTACCCTCTTCAAGCCCATTTTTCCCAGCTGCTGCTAGAGTGATCTGATGTTCAAACCAGCCTAAAGTGGCCTTTATGAAAACCTTTCACAGATACTGCATTTCTATAACATAAAGCCCAAAGCCTGTTATGTTTTACCATGACTTACGTTATCTTTTGTGACTTGATCATTCACCAGCTTCTAGTTTCAGCTTCCTCCCCTTCTCTCAAGGAATTACTTAAATCTCAGAACACATAATGTTTATGCTTTTGATGTTTTTCTTATCTTTTCCAGGAATGCTTATATTTTAAGTGTCTGGCTAACACCTAATTTTTTTCTTTGAGACTCAGAGTTGGTAGAACCCAAAGTTACCACTTCCTCCAGGGAATCCTTCACTCATGAAGCATTCCTTTGTGATCCTGTAGCATTTATAATATTTATATTGTATTGTTAATTATTTCGACCTTTTCTCCCCCTTTTCTCTCTCTTATAAGATTCTAAGGTCATAGCATCTTCCCAGTGCTTGTTCTGGGGCTTATTGAATGAATGCTAAACACATTAATTGAACTAGTGAAGGAGTTGGGATTTGGAGTAAGGATTAGTTTTTATATTTTGGTTTTATTAGGAAAACAGGGGCGCCTGGGTGGCTTAGTCTTTGAGCATCTGCCTTCGGCTCAGGTCATGATCCCAGGGTCCTGGGATCGAGCCACACACTGGGCTCCCTGCTCAGCGGGAAGCCTGCTTCTCCATCTCCCACTCCCCCAGCTTGTGTTCCCTCTCTGGCTATATCTCTCTCGGTCAAATAAATAAATAAAATCTTAAAAAAAAACCAAACCAGAGAACTGTTAGTTGTGAGATTCTCATTTGAGTAGGTATGAAGTTTTCAGTGGAAATAAGCTATGTATATCCTTGTTATTTTTATGTATTTCAAAAGTTAGCTATTTCATGAGGCCAATTGAAATTTTTTTATTATATGGTAAAATATATGTAACAAAAAATATTGTTTTAACCATTTTTAAGTGTACATTTTTGGCGATAAGTACATTCATATTGTTGTGCGACCATCCTCACCATCCACCTTCAGAACTTTTTCATGTTCCTACACTGAAACTCTGTACCCATTGAACAGTAACTCTCTGTTTCCTCTTCCTCCCAGCCTCCTGGCAGCCACCATTCTACTTTCTGTCTCTATGAGTTTGACTACTGTAGGTACCTCACATAAGGGAAATCATAATGTTTGACTTTTTTCATCTGGCTTATTTTGTTTAGCATAATGTCTCCAAAGTTCATCCATGTTGTATAGCATGTATAAGAATTTCATTACTTTTTAAGGCTGAATAATGTCCATTTTATGTCTGTACCACATTTTGTTTATCCGTTTATCTGTTGATGGACACTTGGGTCACTCACATCTTTGAGGCTTTTGTGAATAATGCACTATGAACAAGGGTATACAAATAGCAGTTTGATTCCCTGCTTCACGCTTTTGAGTATATACTTAGGAATTGCTGGATCATATGATAAGTTTAATTTTTTGAGGAACCACCATACTTTCTTCTGCAGTGGCTGTACTGTTTTATATTCCCATCAGGAATGCTCGAGGGTTCTAGGTTTTCTACATCCTCACCAGCACTTGGTATTTTCTTCTTCGTCGTCTTCTTTTTTTAATAGCCATCCAAATGACTAAAGTAGGAGTTCTGTATTTTTTAATGATTTAGTTGTATCTTTGGATTCTTAATATTTAACCACCTCTTGCTTAGGAACCACACCTTTAAATTCTCCCATTGAACCTTTCTTCTTATAATTCAGTATAATTCAGTATTCCTTAAACTGTTTTAAATATGCTTTATTTTTCCAAAAATTTTTTTATTTTTTAATTATCTTTTTAACTTTACTCTTTCTATTCCAGCAGTATGTACTGATTTTAATAATTGTTAAACACATTTTGAAGTCTGAACCTTATTCTGGAAAGTATTTCAGAGTGATCATATTTTTCTGAGATTGTTAAGAGTAGGATTCAGAAGGCTTGAATATTTACCAACTAGTTTTGTGACTAGTAAATCAATCATCTTCTCTTAAGACTCCGTTTATCAAATGAGAAGTTGGATTGGATTCAATTAAATTTTATTCAGGACCTACTACATTCAAGTCACTCCTGATTAGGTAGACATTATGAGCATATAAAGAGGAATGACGTAGGCTAGTGCTTGAAAGCCAAACTAATGGGTCCTCTAGGGATCTTCTAAATCTGAAGTCCTTTTATTTTATAAATGAAAAAAATAAATTATGGTTTTGTTTGCAGTTACCGTGAAATGGGGAAAGGAGAAATTTGAAGGTGTAGAATTGAACACTGATGAACCTCCAATGGTGTTCAAGGCTCAGCTTTTTGCATTGACTGGAGTCCAGCCGGCCAGACAGAAAGTTATGGTGAAAGGAGGAACATTGAAGGTAAAATTTAGTCCAGATTTTCATTCTATACTATTATATAATTAGTGGAAACAAACACCAGAAAATGTAGCACTTGAGGGTTTTTTTATTTGGTGAGAGTATATAGTCTATATGAATTTAAAACTGTCTTATTCATGTTAGGGTAGGAAGGAACATTGTAGCCATTTCAAAACACTGTATTATAAAAGCATCATTAAAATTTTTATTTTAAAATGCATTGTATCAGTGACGACTCCTAGGAGTCAGGGGAGTGAGGAACTTTCCATTTATCTCGGTTGGATTTTTTTCTCTGTGAGGGTGTGTTAAAAGTATTTTATTTTGTTTAGATTACTATAAAAATCTATATATTCTTAGTAGTTTTCTGTTATAGGGGTGGAGAGAATTTTATCTCTGTTAAAAATATGGAACAAAATGGTAGAAAAAAAAAAATGACCACAGAAGGTATTTTTTTATGTGTATTCAAATGTTGAAATTCAAAATATTTCAACATCTTTACCAAAGCCCCACTTCTGGAATACTGGAAAATTGTTAATTTTTTCTTTTGGCCTGTTTCATATTCTACCCATTAAAAAAGGGCTCCTATCACTTAGGGTGTAATCACTGCGTAAAACCTGTTTGGAGGTGGGAGAAAAAAATTTGTGTTTAAAAGGAGAACATAATTTTTCCTTTAGTTTCCTTGGAATGGTCATATTGACTACAGTTAGGAGTCTATAAACTTACTGGCATCATTGGTGACGGGCCACGAAAAGATGCAAGTATTATTGTTTGTAAAACTATGGAAGTATAGTTTTAAAAAAATATTACCCTCAGGAGTTTGGTGTGAAATGCCACAGAGCTGTAGTTAACTTTAGAGATACGGCTTGGTTGCCCCTGTCAGCTGGGCAGTAAAATTGATGTTAGTGAAGAAAACATTGTTTCCCCTTCAAGTTGCAGTATGAGCTTTTTAGTCATTAGTGAACTTGATAATTGAATTTGTGATGAGCTGTATATGGTGGTGATGTACTGTGGAGAATTACAGAGATATGGTATGTAAATGAAACTGACTACTAATAGCTATCACTTATTGAATAATTTTCTGTGCCAGGCTTTTATTTTAATTCTCAACTCTTTGTTTTTTAAAAATGAGCGTAAATGTATTTTATAATTTCATAAATGAGAAAACTTAGCTTCAGAGAGATTTAAGTAACATATAGTAAGGTACCAGAAGAGCATGTGATTTACAAGTCAAGCAGATCTCGGTTCATTTTTCAGCTTAGTGTGACCTCAGATAAGTGATCTGAGGGAGCATATATAGTTGTCATTCCTTATGATTAATAGAAATGGCCCTTAAACTGAGAAGGACATTTAGGAAGTTACTGTTGCACTTTGAAGCAGGATGTCCAAAGAGATAATTAGTGGCACCACCAAATGGAAAAGCATATTGCATGCCTGGCATCTTGTGTAAGAAAGAAGTAATGTGGAAATGACTTTATCCTGTGAAGGGAAAGGGCTTAGCTGCAGTAGGCCAAGATATCTGGGGGCCAGTCATGGCATTAAAAAAAAATTGTTTTAACTGAATATATTGAAGTGAAAGTAATTACTTCATAGATATGAAATTTAGGACTTTAAAAACATTTGTGGACACAGCAAATGTTATGAAGGGTTAGTTTGCTTCTGGTAGTCCTGGTATAATTTAAAAAAAAAAATTTTTTTTTAAAGATTTTATTTATTTGACAGAGACAGCGAGAGAGGGAACACAAGCAGGGGAGTGGGAGAGGGAGAAGCAGGCTTCCCGCTGAGCAGGGAGCCTGATGTGGGACTCGATCCCAGGACCCTGGGACCATGACCTGAGCCGAAGGCAGATGCTTAATGACTGAGCCACCCAGGCATCCGGTCCTGGTATAATTTTTAAGAGCACTTTCATTTTCAAGAATCTCCTGCTTTGGGGGCACCTGTGTGGCTCAGTTGTTAAGCGTCTGCCTTCGGCTCAGGTCATGATCCCAAGGTGCTGGGATTGAGCCCTGCATCGGGCTCCCTGCTCCATAGGAAGCCTGCTTCTCCCTCTCCCACTCCCCTGCTTGTGTTCCCTCTCTTGCGGTGTCTGTCTCTGTCAAATTAAAAAAAAAAAAAAAAAAAAAAAAGAATCTCCTGCTTTGGATAGTAAATTATATAATCATTCTAATTATGTAGACCTTATTTCATAAGTTACTCTTCATTCCTGTCACATAAGCTAATTATTAGTTTTGCTGGTTCCATACATGTAACACACATGCAAAAAAATTAGTATCTGTCATTAAGTGTTTTGTAGTCCTTTGGTACGGTTAGGTTTATTGTCTTTTAGATTGTGTCTTTTGTAGTTTAAGCAACTGTAAGACTTACTGACTTTAAGACTGCATTTTTAAAAAAATACTTTTGATTATAGTAATTTTAAGTAAAATTGCAAACAAAAAATTTATTCTATTTTGGAGTAGCTTAAATTCATTGATTATTAGAGTATGTTCAGAGTATACAGGAGTGGTTAAATGTTTTTCATTTGTTTTTAAAACAGGATGATGATTGGGGAAACATCAAAATAAAAAATGTAAGTATTATCATAAAAGCACTTAATATAATTCAGTTTCTTAATTATTAGAAATGCATTCCAAATGCCTTTTTTCCGTATATATATCCAGTTGTTCCAGCACTATCTATTGAAAATACTCTCCTTTTCCCATTGACTTGTCTTGGAATCTTTTTTGAAAATCCGTTGTAGGTTTACTTTTGGACTCCTGTTTCATTGATACATTTGATTATAACTTATGCTAGTACACCTGGTCTTAGTGATTAAAGCTTTATAGTAAGTCTTGAAATGAGATAGTGTAAGTTCTCCAACTCCTGCAAGAATATCTTAGCTGTTTTAACTTCTTTGCATTTCCTTATAATTTTAGAATAAGTCTGTCAATTTTTACAAGTGGACTCTTGGAATTTTGAGATTGTATTGGTTCTTTGTTCAGTTTGGGGAAAATGGGCATTTTAACAGTATTGAGTATTAAAATCCTTAAAATGATGTACTCTGTTTAGGTCTTTATATTCTCTTAAACTGAGTTTTGTAGCTTCTTAGTGTAGGATTTTCATGGTTTTTTAACAAAAAAATTAATGTGGAAATGACTTTATCATGTGAAGGAAAAGGGCTTAGCTGCAGTAGGCCAAGATATGAGTCTCTGAACTTAAGGTTTCGTGGCTGTTAAACAGTATTTTAAAAAATTTTGTTTTCTGGTGTTCATGGGTAGATTATAAAAATACAGTTCCTTTTCATCCTGTAACCTTGCTAAATTCACTTAATAGTTTCATTAGTTATTTTCTAGATTCCACTGGGGTTTTCTTTTTATGTACATGAGCATGTTATCTGCAAATAGAGGTATTTTTACTTCTTTCTTTCCAATTTTATGAGTTTTATTTCTTTTTATTGCCTTGTTTCCTTGGGCTATATTATTTTTAATAATACAGTGTTGAATAGAAAGTGGTGAGAATGGGCATCTTTATCTTTGTTTTATCCTAGCTCGTTCACTCTAAGACCTTTTAAATTAGGAATGGCTGTTGAATTTTGTTAAGTTATTAAAAAGATCATATGATTTTCCTACTTCATTCTGATAATCTAGTTAATTTCATTTATTTTTATTTTTATTTTTTTAAAGATTATTTGAGAGACAGAGTGTGAGTGCATGAGCAAGGGGGGGAGGAGCAGAGGGAGAGGGAGAAGCAGACTCCCCACTAAGCAGGGAGCCCGATGGGCTTGATCCTAGGACCCTGAGATCATGACCTGAGCCAAAGGCAGACGCTTAACTGACTGAGCCACCCAGGCGCCCCTCATTGATTTTTTAATTGTTAAATGGTACATTGCTGGGATGTGCAACTCTCAAATTTTTTGGTTTTTGCAGCCCCATTTAAACTCTTAAAAATTACTGTTTTTAAACCCCAAAGGGTTTCGTATATATTAGTTGTATCTATTGGCATTTACCATATTAGAAATTAAAACTGAAGTTAAAAAACCTATTTATTTAGAAATAACAATGACAAACCCATTACATGTTAATTTTAATATTTTGAAATGTTTTCCCAAAAATATCGTGAAAGGATGGCAATGTTCTATATTTTTGCAAATCTCTTGAAAATCTAGCTTAATAGAGATACCTGAATTCTCATATTTGCTTTTGCATTCAGTCTGTTGTGATATATTGTTTTAGTTGAGGTATATATAAGAGATCTGGCCTCACAGTTGGAAAAGGGAGGTTATCTTTTCGGATAAAATTGTGAACATTTTTCTTTCATAGTACATCCAAACTCAACATGTAATAGCTTATCATTGGTTAGTTTGTGGTAGAAACCACATCAGTGACCTTTTGTGCATAAAAATCTATTTGTCTGTAACAGGAAAGGTGCCAAGTACATAGTGATGGATATAAAATTCTAATTTTCTCTCAAAGCTCTAATTTTGTCATTGGCAACTATATGTAGTCAGTTGTTTTTCCTAAGGCAGCAAGCTCACTTCATTTATTTTTGAGAAAATGTTGGCTAAATACTTGATTATAAAAACGCATAATTTGTAGTTTTAAGTAAAAATGATATTCCATTGAAAAAGCAACTAGTCCAGTTTGCAACTCAGACATTTACACAAGCTTATCCTGAAGAAAATGATCATATTTGGTATGCAGATGTGTTATTTCTTGATTATTTTCATATATATTTTATTGACTGATTTTTAGAGAGAGGGAGGTGGTAGGGGCAGAGCGAGTGAGAGAATCTTAAGCAGGCTCTGTGCTCAGCAGGAGCCTGACACAGGTCTCCATCTCACAGTCCTGAGATCATGACCTGAGCCAAAATCGAGTCAGACATCAAGAGCTAGATGCTTAACCGACAGAGCTACCCCAGCGCCCCACTGATACATATATATATTTTTTAAAGATTTTATTTATTTATTTGAGACAGAGAGAATGAGAGACAGAGAGCATGAGAGGGAGGAGGGTCAGAGGGAGAAGCAGACTCCCTGCTGAGCAGGGAGCCCGATGCGGGACTCGATCCCGGGACTCCAGGATCATGACCTGAGCCGAAGGCAGCCGCCCAACCAACTGAGCCACTCAGGCGCCCCCCACTGATATATTTTTAATAGACTTTATTTTTTAGAACAGTTTTAGGTTCATAGCAAAAAGTGAGTGGAAGAAACAGAGCTTTCACATATATCCTCTTCCCCACACATGCAGAGCCTCCTCCATTACCAACATCCCCTACCAGGATGGCACATTTGTTATAATTTTTCTTTTAAAGAGTTTGTCAGAGAGAGTGTGTGCACGCGAGCTCACAAGCAGGGGGAGCGGCAGGCATAGGGAGAAGCAGGCTCCCTGCTGAGCAAGGAGCCCGATGTGGGACTTGATTCCAGGATCCTGGGATCATGACCTGAGCCAAAGGCAGAAGCTTAACTGACTGAGCCACCCAGGTGTCCCACATTTGTTATAATTGATGAACTTACATTGACACATCATTGTTGCCCAAAGTCCGTGGTTTACATTAGGATTCACTCTTGGTGTTGTATATTCTGTGGGTTTGGACAAATGTATGATTACATGTATTTACCACTATAGTATCATACAGAGTAGTTTTATTACCCCCCAAATTCTGTGTGCTCTGCCTGTTCATCCCTTCAACCCCCTGACAACCATTGATATTTTTACTGTCTCCATTGTTTTGCCTTTTTCCAGAATGTCATGTAGTTGGAATCCTACAGTATGTGCCCTTTTCAGATTGACTTCTTTCACTTAGTAATATGCATTTAAGTTTCCTCCATGTCTCTTCATGGCTTTGATAGTCCAGTTCTTTTTAGTGCTGAATATAGTCCATTTTCTGAATGTACCACAGTTTTATTCACCTACTGAAGGAGATCTTGGTTGCCAGGACAACTAAGTCTTTTTTGAATGGGTACTTCCCATTTCATAACACAGAATATCACAAAGAAATGTATTCAGAGGTTGAGATTTAATAAAATTAATCATTTTAACCAATTTATTTGATATCATTACTTTGATATGTGCTAAACTATTAAAATTTTTAGCCTCAAGTGATTTTCCACCATTAGTATTATGAAAATAGTTTTGATCTTGCTGGCCCTGTGAAAGAATTTCAGAGACCAATAGGGGTTCACAAACACTTTGACAACTGGGACAAACCCATTGAGTCATGATGTATTTATCTCATTTATGTATTGCTGGATTTAATTTTCTCATTTTTTAAAAAAGATATTTATATATGTTCATGAGGGGTATTGATATTTTTATTTGGGGACATATTGCCCCATTTATTTATTTATCTCTTTATCTATCTATTTATATTTATCTACCTATCTATCTACCTATCTATCTGTCTATCTATCTATCTATCTATCTATCTATCTATCTATTTGAGAGCACAAGCAGGAGGAGCGGCAGGCGGTGGGAGAGGGAGAGGCAGACTCCCTGCTCAGCAGGGAGCCCAATGTGGGACTCGATCCGTTTTCTACTTTACTGATAACTACTCTATTTCCTTTTTTTTCTACCTTGGGTTTAAAATTGCTTCATTTTCTTTTTAAGGTGTGTGCTTAAATCATTGTTTTTTTTTTTTTTTTTAATAACCTCTTTCCTTATTTAGGCGCTTAAAATTCTCTTTAATCACTTGTAGTTGTAGATACAACTTTAGATGTGCTATGTTTTTATTCAGTTAAATATTTTCTTATTTATGTTGTGGGTGTTTTGTTTTGTTTTGACCCATGGATTGTTTAGAACTATGTTGTTTAATCTCCAATTATTTGTGTCTTTTTCTAATATATTTGTGTTACATATTTCTAATTTGATTCTGTTGTAGTCCCATAACATACCAATGTTATTTTGGTCGTCTGAGATTTATTGACCCTTTTTTATGGCCCAGAAAGCCTAAAATATTTATTATATGGTCCTTAATAGGAAGTTTGCTGACTCTTGGTATAAAGGGTGCTAAGATGATGAACTGCTGCTCTAGGATTTATATTCTATATCTTTAATTTGTCATCCTCTGCCTTAAATAACCAATGACTTCAGGTATAGTATAAGATTCTTAAAATAGTATACTTCCATTTCCTTGGTCCTTGGTGCTGTTGTTGTCGTACAGTTTACTTCCACATGTTAGAAATCTTATACTTCATTCCTATTTTTGCTTTAAATAGTCAATTATCATTTAAAGAGATTAAAAATGTTTAAAACTCATATTTACCATTTTTGGCATTCTTCCTTTGAATCCAAATAGAAATTTCCGTCAGATATCCTTTTCTTCTGTCTCAAGAACTTACACATTTCTTGCAGAGCATATCTATGGATTTTCTTTGCTTTTGTTTTTCTGAAAAGCTCTTTATTTCAGCTTTATTTTTGTTTTTTTGTTTTGTTTTGTTTTTTAAAGATTTTATTTAGTCATTTGACAGAGACACAGCGAGAGAGGGAACACAAGCAGGGGGAGCGGGAGAGGGAGAAGCAGGCTTCCTGCTGAGCAGGGAGCCCGATGCGGGGCTCGATCCCAGGACCCTAGGATCACGACCTGAGCCGAAGG